AACTATTGTGAACATTTAATTTACTGTAGATAACTTAATTTTGCGCGACACCTTATTTTCGCGAGATAGTCATTGACTTTTTATAAGCGAGACAAAATTTTCACGAATTGTGGTCATTGCACTATATTATCTTAAGGAATTCTATTATACGCGAGAATGAAATTTTCACGAGCATACTGTCTCGCGTAATTACGCGAAAATAAAGTTCCCACGAATAAAAAGTGATTTACAGTATGTGTCCTTGTATTTGCTGATTCACTATATTAAAAAAATGTAAATACCAGTAAATGTTGAAGCATTAATTTTAAATCATTATTCATTGCAAGATATAGTCTCATAACTGCAACGGCGTGTTGAATAACGTGCGTTATGAAAATCTGTTTGCACACATTGGTGAAATGATGAGACTATATCTTGCAAATAATAAATATTCAATGCTTATTTCTTTTTCATTTTGAACTCCTTGCTTTGTCTCTAAATATAGGATTTATATTTAAAAATCTCTACATTATCCTTCGGATATTTAACTTAACAATTAATGGAGGAGCCATTGCATCAGCTTCTGTTCAAAGTGAGCATGATTTTAGAATTTCGCTTAAGACGTTGCACTTCCATGGCGTTCAACGTTCGTGATGTCAAAATGAAACACATATACTTTAACCTTTTGACCCCTGTCTGTATTATGGTGTTTTGAATGCTGTAGCTTTCCTCACACTTTATAAGCAAAAAATACCGTATATCCGAGGTCTTTTTGCGTTGATATATTTTTTTGCATTTTTTGCAACCATGCATCTTTAATATTCAAAATATAAAACATGCAGAAATTATGTCAGCTATAATTTGACATAAAACATTACCATTTTAAACCAAAAAAAATCTTCAATCGTAAAAAATAACTTACGCAAAATAAAAACTGTACTAATCTACCCCTTTTTCACAAAATTTCCAACATGCGAAAAAAACACTATATAAATATATATGATTGTTGCAGCTACTTAGCAGATTCTACATTGAGCTGCTGCTAGCCAACTGCCTCATGGAGATAACAATTGCTAATTCATAAACTATAAAACAGCATTCAATAGTTCTGGAGTATAGCCTAAGTATGGTAGTAGCTATGCTAGCTGCTATGATTTTGAACACAGCCCTGAGCAAGTACTGCTAGAATGCATTTCCTTCACAGATGATTTAAAAGCCATAAAATAACAGTATCTGCATCTAAAATGTCTTTAAAAAAAAAAAAGGATTTTAGAAATGGATTCATCTTTATTATCTTCCACCAATAGTGTCAGCAATGTGGATCAGATGTAACAATGATGTTTTATTACTGACATTTGACGAGTAATAGCACCAAAAAATAAAAGAGGTCTGTAAAATCTAATGGCATAAACTTCAGATCAGCATCTTTATTGCTAGTTTTGATCTAATCTACCATTATAAGGGATGTTTTTATACCAGCAAAACCACTTTGTAATACACACTGTAGGGCCCCAGTGTCTTGTGCTGGGTATTGATTTTATGTAAATTCAGAGTTCTTAGAAATTTTTGGAGGTCCAATACAAAGTGAGCTTTAGTAACTTGTAGTAGTTATTGATTTGTTATTGTGAATTTAAGTGTCAATTTGTCCATTACAGAGGAAAACCAGCATGGTGCTAAATCCACACTGCCAAAGAAAGCAGACGGCAATAACCCAGCAGACGGCAATGGTCCAGCAGACGTCAGCTCATCCAAGGAAGACCAGGATAAAAAGTATGTCACCACCTGTGTCAAAAACAGCAAAACTCACAGAAATTATGTCACCACAGAGATAGGTGGTCCATAAACGGAAGTTAATCAAATGATCATAATTTACTTGCCTGAATGTTCACCATTTGAAGTATCTGCAAATGTCACATTAAACTGTGACTGCCAATGGCTTGCTGTTATAAATTGGATTTCACATCATATATAAGGTTATAAGAGATAGCATTAACTGTGGATATGAATCTGTTGGTGTCACAAAGGCTTTAACATTTGTCAATATAAAGAGATGTATTGCTGAAAGTAATTGTAGCATTTATTATAAGGAGACACTTTCTAGCTTATTTGTTAGGTTTCATCCTTGGTGATAATTAGCTTCATATAAAATCATATTGGTCATGCAATTTATTGTTATGGAAGAAGGGTTTCAGAGGAAGAATAATGTAGATTAAACTTACAAGTGGATGACTTTGATATGAACATTTATGAGTAAAAATTAACATACATCATACATGTTAACCTATTGTGATGAAAAAGAGGGAGATTCAGACCTCAAAAGCGGTAGCATTGCGCGCGTGTTGTTTAACGCTTGGATTATCGATATCTTTCATGTAATATACATGTATATTATAAGCCTTAAATGAAATCAGGTACCTACACTAATTAATCTTAAATATCAACAGCAAAGAGGAAAACAGAAACACCTTAAGTTTGACATAAATTGTACAAATTCAAATATTTTTCATGCTCATCATTTTGCTTGGATTGGCTACTTTACTTAGCCTTGTGAAGAGTGATCTTTGCTGATTTAGCCTAGAAGCAATAATTCAAAATATTCATTCAGTTTTTAAACAAAACAAATGATAAAATGGTTTAATCTAGATCTAAAACAAGTTCCTATCTTTCGTTATATAAATCAGATTTCCCGCGATGATCGAAAACGAAAGTAGAGATGTGCAACATGGCTTGGTCAATCGAGTGATTTCTATTGACTTTATTGATAAAGTTGTGAGCTTCTGTGCTTTTAAAAACGATGTCAAATGTTTTCATCTAATTCTTAAAAGCTGTATCTCCTTTTTCATGGCAGGGATGTTGATTAATTTATCGTAACCAATGTAATCACTGGTAGTCTTGTGTTGTTGTCGTTGTCAAATCCGTGCTTGAAATCTAAGTACAAAAAAAGCGTTTGTATGATTCCGAGTCAAATCACGCGATATCTAGCGAGATTTTATGAGAGTGGCTTCAAAAATGGATACCCAAGCGAACCAAAAATACTTTAGACGAAGCTTTTGTAGAAAAGCGGTAGATTTCTGCATTAAATCGGTAGGCGGGAGATGGAATGAAAAAGCGGTAGACTCCCGCCTAAATCGGGAGAGTTAACATGTATGCATACATGGTACACCAAGATAGTGGATATATATTGCTAAATACTCTAAATATATGTACATGTATCAGCAATTTAAAAGAACTCAAATCAATATAAATTTAATGTTTAATATTCTATTAATTAAGTCCATTTTTCGTAGTTTGCAGTACTTCTTTTGAAGTTAGAAAATTGAATAGCTAATAGCTCTAGTTTGGTAAAGCAATCAAACCTGCTGCATGTTTCTCCTTTCTATTTGAAGAGCAATCTAATGGCGTTTTTGTAATGAAATAGGACTTTATTAGCGGTATCCTGCATTATCCTTCCAGCACACTTCCAAAACCCAAGGGGCTTGAAAGAAGTGATTTAATTGAAATTTCAGGATAAATGAAGTTCGGTCAGATTAAAGCTTTTTAAGCGGCTTTTTGAGTGTACAGTGTATAACTTTTATTCAGTAAGGCCAGGTAAAATTAATCTTTAGATTCTCATCCTAATTTGCTAAAAAATTGGGGCGGGTGGGCGGATTTTATTTTTTATTTTTTATAATTGTTAATTTATATATAGGCCTAAGTATCAACAAAACAATGGACGCCACGTACACATTTTTTTTTTTCATTACCTTAATGCAAATATGAATAGATTTAATTCTTTTCATATTCTTTTAAATATTTAAAGAAAATTTTTGCTTTAAAAATTAAATATTTATTGTTAATTAACAAGTTATCAAGTACACATTATACGGCACACCCTGAACAAAATGAGCTAGGGATGCGTGACTTTTTATTTTGCAAAATCTATATAAATGTTCTAATAATTATTCTACTGAAAAATCTAGGCCTTCTCATAAGTCTGTCTACGATGTTGTAGATTTTGTTTATTTCAAAGCAAAGTCACACAGCTGGAGATCGTTATATATAACTTGACCAGGTGTCATTTTACTCGTCTATTTTTACTTAGTTACAATCTCTCTACATACTCGCTCCTGCCAGTGATGGTATCTATATGTGTTTATGCTATTTTTTCTTCTCTGCCTTCTCTATGCTGACAAATTATCTTTTCCTTACACATTTAAACTTCTTTTATTGCCGATTTTTCTCCATTCTTCACATGGCGTTTTTGCTATTAATAGCGACACACGACTTTTAATACAGACGGGAGATAACTCTTAAACTTTGAACCAAATTCTTACTGAATAAAAATACATGAAAATACCCAAAAATCAAAATAAAAAACATCGGGGCGGGACATTTTGAGAGGGGCGGGCGTGGATGAGAATCTAAAGATTAATTTTATATGGCCTAAATGAAAAGGCTGATACTAACATGTATGCAAATACTAATCTATACAGAATCTTTTATTGGCCAAGTGAATTCCAAGGTTTATTTTTATAGCGAGCTCAATAGACTAACGTGTAAGAACAGAGGAAATTCGGATTGAAATCTGTACATACGTCAGCCAAATTTCTCTGTGCAACATTCCCAGAATTCCTGCACTACCCAATGTCCTTTGCGTGAATAAATCAAAAATAGTAAAAAAAGAAAGGAACATTGTTTCTTACCGAAATCTTAACGAAATGATTTTGCCTTACCTTATTCAAAAAAATACCCCCATACCACAACACCGGCTTTCACCTTGCCCTTCGGAAATGATACAAATGACGTCACCGGAAACTTACGAATTTTGACGAAGTTATGTCGGTTGCTTCCGTGAAACTCGGAAAACATGTTGCGGTGCATAGCAACATGGTGGCTAAAACATAGCAACAACTTACTTGAAAAGAAGGATTTAATGCAATCTCTTTTCCACTAGCGTTTACGTCCTAAGTCAACAGAACTTTTTATATATGACGTCATACTTTCGTCACTTCAACGGTTCGGGTATTTCCGATTTTGTCGGAAACTTCCGAGAAGTTTGGAATCTCGATCCCGATGCTTGGGAAATAATTTCTTTTTACAGTAAAACACGGTTATAGCGAAGTCCTGGGGACCTGTGAATTTAATTCGCTATATCCGTAATTCGTTATATCCGTATAACGAATTCGTATACCGCAGTAACTATATATAGCGAATTTGCAATATGCATGTTTTCCTTCAAGTGTTACTATCAAATATGTTAGAGAAGCAAATATTACAAAACATACCTTCGATAACTAAGGTTTTATTATGAATTGAATTTTATATACAAATGCTGAGACAAAATAAAGTCGGTTCAATTAATCAGATTTTGAAATCTTTGAAAGTTCGTTATAAAAGATGTAAATTTTATTATATTTTACCTCAACAGGACTCAAAATCAGTTCGCTATATCCGTAAATTCGTTATATCAGAGTTCGTTATAACCGTAAAATTTTACAAAGATTTGTTAAGAATTTTGCCGGGGACCCAGAAAAACTTCGTTATATCCATGAATTCGCTATATCCGTGTTCGTCCTAACGTGTTTTACTGTATTGTTTTGTTTTATTCTTTTTTCTTTCTTTTTGTTGAATGATAGACAGTTCATGTGTAGGTTTATGATAGTAAATAAACTGCGCTCGCCCCAACGGTCACACCGTAAAACATATTAAAAAAGAATTGATTGATAAAAAAGCTTATTCAGAGAATCTGTGTCCCATGCCCGTGCTTAAGGGAGAAAAAAGGAGCATGCAGGGATCAGGATAAGGGGGCATTTTAGGGATTAAAAAAATTTCACCGCAAAATCTCAAAATCCTCCTTTGATATCACCAGGAAATGAAAGTCACACACAGAATGTATGAGCTTTTTGACCTCAAAATAAATACAGCTCTTCAATAGGCCATAGACACTTGTTTTGCAAAAATTTCATTGCAAAAAAAAAGCGTCTCAAGATCTTGCATGGAAATGAAAGTATTACAGACAGACAGATTTACATCTAGACTGAAATTAATATGTTGAAGAAAAAACTGTCATGCAAAGGATAAAGAGTCATGTAAATATGATCATTGATAACGAACGCTTTGGTCGTTCCTAGAAAGTGAATGACTGTCACAATATTTTGATTTTAATTGGTGAAATATTAAAAATTTATTTAAGAATGGCCATTAATGAATTTAAAATATAAGATATAATATACATAGTAAATATAAAATATATTTTAATCTTGTTTTTTACAGGATGCTTGTTGATATGTACTCCATAATGGTTGACAGTGTGTTAGAGGGAATTAAACAGTATTCAAAGACTCTCAGTGTACACAAGGTAAAATACAATGTTTTCTTTTTCTGTAATCTGGAACTGAAGCTTATGTAGTTAATATAGTACCAGTAAAAGTGGTATATTTTGCACCTTAATATGCATAGTATTGTATAAGACTGTGTTGTATCGTTATGAAATATGGAGTTGACAAATAGTATTCAAGCTCATAAGCCCACTGAAACAATACAAATTGTGATAGAGCAAATGGAGACCTCTGTAAATATCAGTGGGATCAGGTGCCATGGAGGAGTAAGCTAAGGTATCTATATTGTAGTTTAAAGTGATAGAGTTCATTTGGTAGTAAATGTTTTCATTGTAGACTCGTGCCAAAGTGGTGGATCTGATTTGTGAGGGGTGTAGGGCTTACCCTGTCCTTAGCAAATATATTCAAAGAAGGTGAGTGTTTCGTGTGAAGTATGTAACATTTAAGGGGGAAAATGATAAGTATTGATTACTTTGAACAATATTTAACTAATATATCTCATTTCCTATGATTACAGACACAATACTTGTACCCTTGATATACTCTTTTTTTTATTCCTTAAGTGTTCTGAATCACAATAAAATAAGTCAAATTTTTCAGATCAGACATTGTGTTCACTTTGGAGGCATATGATCAGGATGGGAGGTAATTTAAAATCTTTTCCAGCCTTTTTCTTCGGATCATTATTTAAAGACATATTTAAATACATTTTGCAACATTAGTTTCTCTAAAAGATTGGAATTATTACTAAAATTAAATTCAATTGAATAAAATATTTTATTGTTATTAACCATATACCGGTACATACTAGTAGAATTGGATATGTTAGCTGCACTTTATAAGTAAATTTGATTTTACCATTACAGGAGTCTACCAGTGGAGGAAGGAAGTCGTAGCCTCTTGTTGAAGTCAGCCAGTGTTTGTCTGTATGATGTACCGAGTACGCTCATTCCGGGGAAAACCCTGGGCTCTCTTGTGTTCTCGGAAGTCTTCCAAGACTCGGTCATCTCAGTACAGAAGGAAGGTATAATGTAATCAGCAGGTAGTGAAGTGATAGCTCTGGTAAAAATTCTAACTTGTATCAATTTGTTTGGACATACAATGTACGAGGGCCGTTCAAAAATTACGCGGACTTGTTGCACAGAAAAAATATTTGACGACATAATCGGGCAAAATGTCACACATAATATAAAAGAATCTTTACTTATATGGTCTTCAAAATTTCATATCAAAATGTTGTAAATTGGTATCAATGTGAGTGATTTTTCAGGACATATCATTAAGCCACGGAGCAGCAAAATCTTCGACGTCACAGGCATTATAAAAAAATATGTGATTGAGCTTTCATTTTCTCAACATTTTCCCAAGAGTACCTGTACAGTTTGAGTTACCTTATCTACTTAACATCCAAACACCATTTCTTGTCAAGCTTAAAATCTATTTAACATGTAAAGAATATTCTTTTTTCGTTTTAAAACCAAAATTTGCAGATATTTATGAGATATAGTGTGATACTGGTGACTCTCAAGCACGTTCTTTACAGTCCGGGTAAAGTTTTCATCGATAATCTTCTTCCCATCCTCCCGTATAGCCTTTTTACAGAGGTCTAACGGTCTAAAATTTCAATTTGCTATTTGTTGACGGATGTTACGAATACCCTAGTTTACTACATGTTTTATTATGCATATTTTGGATCTATGTTGGCGATATCTGGAGCATTACACATAATTTAACAAAAGTGTGGTGCGCCGTCAATTCAGGAGACGTCATTTTCACAGTTGTTTTCACGGGAATCACATCAGAGAAAAATCACTATATTTCTGTTAGTAATTCAAATATCATGTCAGAAATCTAAATACATAATGATAGAACAATTTAAAAATACATTTGAGAAAATTGTCGAAAAATATCGCGAAATATAGAAAATTAATGAGTTAAATTTCGGATTCTGTTTGCTTTTGCTTCAATTTTTTTGTCGTGCTCAGTACCTTTCCATCGGCGATATCAACATACCGATAATTTTAGTAGAATTTTTTTAAAATACAGAAATTTTGCCCCAAATGTTTTGTAATCTTTAAGATACATATTTCTGTAAAATTTCATAATTATATGACGTCTGTAAGAGTAAATAATAGCACAGTCCACGTAATTTTTGAACGGCCCTCGTATTGCATGTATATATCCAAACACCTTACATTTGCACTGTATTCTTTTTTTATTTTTAGCCTCTCAAATCTTTACATTAATGTATGTTTGGATTGTTTGTAGATGGGACTCTAGAACTTGATGGAGAGAGCTTAATTCTAACTTCCATCATACCTAGATACAGGAGCTGGCCAGTAAGTATAGCAAGTATATGTACTGCAAAACTCTATTTTATGTAGATATGTATTGGTTCATTAAGACTAGACATTTCTTGTGGATATGAAATACTGTGAAATCACAAATTTTAGTGGGGGGGTAATTTTCGTTGTTTTTCGAGGTATGAAAAGACCCACAAATTCATGTCCACCACGAAATATAAAATGCTACATACATAATAACTCATCACTTCTTCATCCACGAATTCAAATCCCCACGAATTAAGTTTTTACTCAAACCACGGAAATTTGACCCCATGAAATTATGGGATTTTACAGTAGATAAAGGTACTCCAATCCTCAGCTAGGAATTATAACTCTTTAATTTATGATTTAATTCAAAACGTCTCTCAACGAAGCCTAAAAATTCAACTTGTGTCAATTTTTTCATGCAACAATTTTCATTTTTTACCTCTCAATGTCCTTCTAGGTTCTGTGAAGTTCTCAGAAAGGTCTAATGAAAATAGGAATTTTGAAAGATTTAGAATAAAGTGTAATCATAAACCTTTTTTTCCAATTCAAAGCTTGTTAGTAAGGTGGAGTCTTCTGGTTTTCTACATAACCTTACACAGTATGGCTGCCTGTTGTGTCCCGGGGAGACATTTCGAGTCTGTACTGATCAGAGTCTCACACTGCCTGTCATGGAGGGTAAGGACAGTCAAACACAATTACTGTAGATCACTATAAATTTTTGCGACACTTTATTTTTCGCAATTTCACAAATTGTTGTTTTTGCTCTATATAATCTTTAGAAATACTAGTAAACTGAGAGAATAAAATCTTCGCAAACACTCTTGTCTTTCGTAATTATGCTAAAGTTAAGTCCTCGCAAAATAAAAGTGATTAACATTATGTCAAGCTGGATGTTTAAAAAATAAGGAAAAATATTTTTATAACATTGTAAATCTATTAAAAAAAATATATGCATGTTAGTGTTTAGTGTCATTTAGGAGTGCTTAGAAAAAATTCCAGAGCATATAAAAAATATAGTTCAGTATATAATGACAAAAGTTGTAGAAGAAGGATTGTAAAATTTAACGTTTGATGTTGATTTTTTTTTTTGGTTGCAGTGGAACTGTTTGCCTATGAGGCTGCCATAGTCCTTGTGTTTCAGAGGGCCAACATTTTGCTTCTGGATAAAGATAACATTAAATCAATGCAGATGTATGTTGGAGTAAGTATACCTAATTGATTACATGCTTTCAAATTATGAATTGAACAATTAACAATCATTACTTCATAATCAAAAGACTTTTGATGCTGGTACAGTTTTATAGTAAGCATGACATTGGAGAAAATGGTGATACAAAAGGCTAATACATGTATTTTTTCAAAAGCATCATAAACTGCATTTTTCACTGGAAAGTTGAATTCAATGTTTTGTGGAGTGTATGGTAAAATAGTAATTTTTTTAAAAACAGGAATCTTCAGATGCTGTTTCGGTACTTATGGTTGAAGTGTTACCATCCAGCGGTATCCCAGCATTCCTCCAGTCAGAAAACCACATCTTGTACATTTCAATGTTCCCAAAGTCTAAGGCCAAATTAACTCTTTTCCAAGAGGTAGATTTTTTTCATAAATAATTGTGAGGGGGAAACAAATATGTTTTCTTTTTAATATAATTTTTATACTAGTTTTGTAGATGCCATTTATAAACAAATGTACAAAGTACTCACAAATGAAGTGATATTTGATGCTGTGTGAATAAATATGACAAATTCCTGACTGATTTTTTTTCTACTTTCTATTACAATAAAGGTATTACCTGAGTGGAAGTCACATTGCAGTTTGCCACATGTGGACCCCACAGAAAGCATCCCAGAATCCTTCCAACAAATGTATGTACTAAAAGTATGAACATTTAAAGAGTTTTTTTAAAATAATCCTTGCTTGATTTTTTTTTTTGGGGGGGGGGGGGGGTGTAGTGATTAATGTGTCTATCCATAGATCTGTTAAACTGCCTGTTAAAATGTCATACCACTACGCCTTCTATGTGACTGGATTTTGAAATAAGATTTTCTTGTTGCATATAGTAACATTGTGCACTTCCTATTTTGATGGTTTGATCAGACATATATGTATGGGGTTTCCTGTAGCAAACATGGACTTTGCAATTATCATTCTTTTCATACAGCCTTCGGCTTTCAGAGTATCAATAGCATATTTCTTGACTAATAACATGCGGGCTCACTATTCAAAGAAATTAAAACCCATGTGACATCACCAGTATAAATACCGACCGCCATGCTTGAATCACTCATATTTTTCTTGGCGCACGTTGTGCGGGCTTTAAGGTATACTTCAAAATATTTTGATTAAATTGGAGTTTAGACGAAGTCTTAACTTTACGTGTTGTATACACAGTTATTTTTTAAGTGTGTTATTGTTTCTCATACGTGGTCTGGGCTTTCACGTGGTTCACGTGAATTTCATGGTTTGTTGTGAAATTTACATGCATGTCCTCAGAAAATTCTGACGTACTCTCGATAATGGCAGAGTCGGACGATGAATCTTTTGAGGGGTTTAATAGCGAGGATATTAGAAAAGCAGAGAAAAAACTCGCTTCTAAACTAGGAATAATAGAAACTAGGGCAACTGCAGGTTCTGCAGTGCAAAATGCACCTAATGATGATGAACAAGGGCCTTCAACGTTGACGGCAAAGCCGTCTTCGGCAAGTAAAAAAGGTAGCAAACGTAAAGGGCCAGGCAGTAATGCCACTAAAGCGAAGAAAAATAAACAAGTTGAAATTTCTGGTAATGACATTACTAGTGC